ATTAATTAATTCTAACTTCATGCACTAAATAAATTTGTTTTTTTTTTTTTTAATATTAAAGTGACTACTTGAAGGTCTAGCATATTTTATTAACTTTGGTTACGAATATCAGGGAAGCCACAGAACCACCTCTAACTTTGTTACATTAATAAGAGTATATTCTAGTCATATTTGCGGCTAATTAAGTAGTTCCTTATAAGTACTACACTAGATACTATATCTATAACCCACTATTACTTGAGTTACTCAATTAAACCTTCTGATCAACTTAGCACTATCAAATATTCTCTCTAAAGAGGAACTGCTGTTAAGACCTCTTAGGACTAATTTATCCTCTTGATAAATCTACTAGAGCAGTCCATATCCTACAAACATGTATTACTTAGATTTTTTAATAACTTATGCCTAGGCTGAGACCAAGTACTTGCTATATTTCTCCACTACTGTTACCTACTTCTTGCCCTTGCAAAGTTCACCCAAACTCCAGTATATACTTTATAGACTATCACCGATATCTAAGTTCTATCAGTAATATAAACTCCTAATCCAGATAGCCCAGAAGGGCTGTAATCTGCCCTGGACCCCACAGTTGGATTCTTTTTCTCTGGTTACTCAGCCAGCAGCTTGGTTGATATAATGCCAAATATTGGTCTTTGTTCAAATTACTAAAATCATATCTGAATTCCTTAGATAGCCTTTTATATAATACCGTTAAAGATCTGTACTACCTCTCTACTCAGAACTTGCCAAGCAGGCTTCTTTGTGCTCCAATACCTGGATTTATACAGCCATTTTACTCAGGTTTCATGTAACTTATACATTACACTACAGTTCCATAGCTTTCTAATAACTCTTGGTACAACCAAGTTTACAGATCTGATGATCCATCAGATTATACACAGTCTGCTGTAACATATTCAGTAAAATTTGAATTTCATTGCCAGTAGGATTCGAACTCTTGTCCTGCCGCTTGGAGATGCAACAACTTGACCACTTCACTAAGTTGTCACACCCCATTAAGTAAATTTGTTTAGCACCTAAAAATATATATAAATATATTCAAACTCAAACTAGTCTGCAGACTTCAGACTAGTCTCAGACCAAACTCACAATTAAGTCTAAGTTTGGTCTAAAGTCTGAAATTAGCAAAATTTAGAATCTGAGTTTGGTTTGATCCTAGACCAGACTTAGACTGGACCAGACCCAGACCAGACCTAGAAGCACTACTTATACATTTCCAAACTAGGCCTTTTTGATAACTTATACTGAGTACAAGGACAAGAATTTGTGAGTTGAGACTGCTATAGTTACCTACTACTGCCCTTGTAAAGTTCACTCAAATCCTGTTACCTACTTTATAGACTCTTTTCCATACCTCCGAAAACCCAAACTCCTAATTCTAAGGCCCTAAGTGTGAAAACCTTTCTCTAATTATCTGATGGCCTAGTTGGTATAGTGCCTTACCAAACATTTCAGTCCTGTCTGATTTTTCAGTATCTGATTGATCATTCTTTACATAGTAACTATTGAAGATTTGTGCTACTTCTCCACTCAGGTCTTTCTAAGTAGGCTTCTATATCCTGTAAATTCGTTGAATTTATTTGATAGCTTCACTCAGGTTTTATATAACTTGTGTATTACACTACATGTTCCACTATCTCTTAGTACAAGCTGATATAATCCTTATTACAGATTCTATAACCTAATAGAATACAATCTTCCAAATAAATTTTCTATAAATTTAAATTTTCGTTGCTAGTGAAATTTGAACTCTAGTTCTGCTACTTAGAGGTGCGACAACTTGCCAACTTCACTAAATCACTATCTATACCCAGTCTTTATTTTAAATTTATAAAAATAGTATATCTAAACAAAACTATATAAGAAAACCTTCATTAACCACTTTGAGGAATATCAGCCACTATAATACCAAAACACAGGTCAGAAGAATTAACAGCACTAAAGCTTTGTACTTCTAACTGTACACTAGCATCCAATGTATCATTCTAAAAGATAAGCATACATAATTTTCTTTCACTACCCAATCCTAATGCTTCAGAGTTGATGCTGAAATACTAACTGCTGAAATACCTTTTTTTTGTATTCAAATAATTTGCAAACCAATCTATTGCTACTGGTCCACTTTGTTTTCAACTTTATAAAAACCTAATCATTTTATTGCCAATCACTCAAATCTTATACTCTTGTCAAATAATCTGCTAGGTTTTTCTTGCTTAATATCTATCTAACTTTGTAAATTCAAATATCATTTTCTGCACAAAACTCTCACAAAAATCTTGTAATGTCTTTCTGCTACAGGCAACTTTCCCCCATATACTACTGTTCTTAATGCTGTTTTGTTGTTTATAAAAAAGAGTTATCCAAGAATGCTTCAGCAAATTTGCAAATGATTCTAATGCTCTTAACGCCACCAAACTTTTCAGCTACACTATTTTTGAAAAACTGAATCAATTTGGCCAATTTCCTGTTACACTATACCTCTGTATACTCTATATCACTCTATTATTAACATATTTACAAATACAGCTTTTATTTGATTAATTTTTACACAGGTTTGCTATTCTATTTCTTCAAGTTTTCTCTTAACCATCTAATGCCTTGACTATTAGATATACATTCTTGTCTTATTCTCAACAATTCTGATTAACAACAACTATTATGATATAAAACTCTATACACTTTATCTGTACTAAAAAAACATCAAACAAAGCTTTAAATTTTTTTTATCAAAGAAGCTAATCTTCTTACTAATATAACTTGTAGACTTTCCACAACCTTCAACTTCTTTGCACCTTCTCAATCTTTTCTTCTAACATCTGAACCACACCTTTCTTTATATTTATTATTAACTCATAAATCTTTACCCTCTTCATCATTTCCCAATTTTTTTTGTCTAACACTCTTATAAAACTATACACCTCAAAATCAACTCTTATCATATTCTCTCTTATATATAACAATTCTTTTCTAAATGCACACCCTATCCAAACATCATTGATAGATTTCTGCAATACACCTCTCGTGATTTCTAAAAGTCTATCAATACTTGCATTATCTTTGAAAAAATTTATAGTGATTGAAATAGGCCAAATGGAAGAACTTCCAATAACATGTCTGATTTCTCCTTCCCTATATGTACTAATTTTATCAACTCTGTTTTTATTAGCCTCAGCAGCTCTTTCTCTACCCATTCTCCTTTGTAAATTTACACTGTCTAGAAACTTCTAAGCCAAAGACTTCACTCCCTTTGAAAAAAAAAAATCCTGTTTTTCAACCACAACACCACCAGAGCCGCCGGTTTTATAACCTCCTTCCAATACTTCACTGCCGATTCCAAATGGATCCTTCCTACCACCAACTGCTCTTTTAAGATAACCTCCTCCTAAGCATGATCAACTCCTTTTACCTCACGATTTTGTGACTTGAAAGGGCTGACTGAATTTCTTTTGTGAACAATCCCAGGCAATGTGATCTCTCTCCTCGCAAATAAAACACACAATCCCTGAATTCCTATTTTGCCTAGGAAACTTGCCAGCACCATATGACTTAAAACCCCTTAGTTCCCATATGATTGCTGATGCGAACTTTGACTCAGCACTACATTGCCATAAACTGGCCCTACATTTGGGGTAAAACCTGACAAAACTGGTTTATATGGACCCACATTCGGAGTTAAACCTGACTGTGCTGGTTGAAACATTGGCCACTGAGCGACTTGATTCACAGCTACACCTCCAAACCTTACTAGCACACCGGCAAACACTGATCCTGATACCCAGAATTGCCTCCCACTTTATATCACTTATTTTTTGCTGACAACCTGCTGTTGCCATTTATCCTGAAAATATACATCCATGGGATCATTGTCTGACGAATCTCTAATCTCTGCTGCAACACTCCACCCTTCTCTTTTCACCACCCATAACATAAAAGCCCTAATTGCAACAACCTCTCTTGCCTTAGTCCCCCACTCCCACTCTTTACTCACAATCACATTGTCCAAATATTTTCCTACTTTACACCTTTCATCATACTCAAATTGATCTCTCGGCTTATGCATCTTTTCCTTCGGCCAATATTTACTTTCCCCAATGCTTTACGTCAACTGCATGCTCCTCCTGATCTCACCGACTACTTTCTCCATTGTTGCTTGGAGTGTCTTCTCCAAAGATCTTTCTAATGCTACATACTATAAATCTGACGCTGAAAAACCCTGAATTCCCACATTTCCTTCACTCATCTCTGATCCTCTGTCAAAATTTCCTTCACGCACCACGAAGTCCGAATCGGGATTGAATCTTCTATCCCATGACCTTTCACCTTGATTATTCTATCCCATGACCTTTCACCTTGATTATTCTATCCAATGACCTTTCACCTTGATTATTCTATCCCATGACCTTTCACCTTGATTATTCTCCTCCACTCTCTTCTTTCCTTTCACTTTACTAACCATTCTTCCCGCCAACCTTTCTACCAACTCCCTCTTCGTTCCAACTTCTGACAACCCTTCACCCCTGCACAAAATCTTTAATGTTTCCACTGATAGACGATCCATACTGATCTTTAAAGCCTGTTGCGAAACCTTTTCCACATCCTCATCCGGACTAATATTTGCGGGTAACGTTGTTGGTAAAATTTCCTGTAAGTCATTATTGTTTTCCATTTCCTTCTTTTTTGAACTCGGATATTATTCGTGACCACGTGCAAACGACGAAGCTAGACTAGCATCGAGCTAGCAGCAAAGACAAAAGAGGGAGAACGAATTTCCATCCTCTTTCTCTTATATAGCCATTTACTATGACCTCATACTGACCTCACCCAACCAAACTCACCATACAATACATCATTCTCAAAATCAGCTAAAAGATGCATATATAATACATTCTGATGATGATGATGATTTACAAAAACAATCTGAAAGCTTACGACTTTTACATGTATCTGAAGTGGAAGAGTTACGACATAAAATTCAAGAAATGAATACCGAATTAGAAATTACTAATAGAGAGCTCAGCGACTTACAAAATCTTTATTCTTCTGATACAGAAAAGTACAAAAAGCGAATAAATGAGTTGTTGAAACAGTTAGATGATGCTCGAAAATATGAAAGTACCACCAAAATCGATGAACAATTAAATATGCTATCAGAATTTAACGAATTAAAATCAAGATATGAGCAAATAATTATTGAGCACGAAGCATCAATTTCAAAGCTTAATGAAGAGCATGCGGACGTTATTGCTGTCAAAGATAATCTCATTCGTTGTCTTCAACGTGAAAAAGAAGATCTTTCAAATCAATTCACTGACTTTAAAAAAGAGGCACAAAACACTTTGGACACTGTTCAACAGCATCTCCTAAATACTCGTGAAGAAATTGTATCTATAGTTAATGAGAACAATAATTTAAATGTTTCCAATGTCAAACGCTCTCAACAAATCGATTCAATAATAATTTCCGTTTCACATCTACCTCAAATATCTGATTGGATTAAGGGTAACCCTGACGATGGTTTTCCAATTCACTTTAATTTCTCCCTAATATTTAGAGCAAGTAGAGATGGTTATGCTCCTGGAACTTTTCATAGATGGTGTGATGATTACGGTGCACCTACATTAATTGTAATTAAACTTACTGATTCTTGTCAGATTATTGGTGGTTACAATTGTTTTTCTTGGAAATCTCCTTTGATATTTGCAACCACTCAACATGATGAGCATGCTTTTATCTTTTCCTTATGTGATAAAGATGGTAACAGAGAAAAAGCTAAAATCGCTAGACCTAAACGAATTAAAAAGAATCACTATAATAGTAAAAAGGGCAGTTTGTTATCTAATAGTAGAATGGGTAATTTATTATCTAATAGTAAAATGGGCAATTTGATATGTAATAGTAAAAAGGGTAATTTTATGAAGGCAACAAAAGATCATTTCATATCACCGGGGCCATCGTTAAAGTTTTCAAGATTTCTTGGTCCATGCTTTGGAAAAAGTGATTTACAATTGCAAAATCGTCTTTGTTATTGTAAACAACGTGATTATGATGACAGCATTACAGATCACTCTGGACTTTTCGAATTTGATGATTTTGAAATTTTCCGTGTGGAAATTTGTCAAAAATAATATTTTTTTTTTTACTGTAGAATTTTTTTTTGTTTAGATTAGATTGCCTTCATTTTTTGGTTGCATTTTTAATAATATAATATATTTGATATATTGGGTTTATTATTCATTATTTGTATAGTCTTTATCATTTGTTCATAGCTAAAATAAAAATA